ATATTCAGTGTTAGGTGCCTTATTAGAACCTACAGTTGAGAAATACAGAATGTTTGCAGCATTGAAGGCAATCAGACTAAGTACATCTGAAAATTGGTGATGCTGGCTCTGCCTGTGCAGAGTGGCTCTGCTCGTTCTTCCCATGCACAGATGCAAAACAAAACCGATTCTCCTGAGCACAGTGGGGTTTGTCATGATTCATCATTGTCATACAGCTGTCCGATGTGAATTTAAAATTTTGCTTCAGTTTTCACACATGCTTCACACAGACATGCCTACCAGATGTGGTAGAGGCAGTGGAGAGCGAGGCCCAGCTGGATGTGATGTATGGAGTGTATTCTGCCACTACAAATTATCCCAGGTACTGCCTCTGGGAAAGAGCAGTTTGTTTAACACTGCAGCATAAAAGGGTGCCTCTTATAGTTTGCCAGTGGTGCTATGGACTCTATAGCTTTCCTGCTTCCACTAGGGTTATATATACAGTAAGTCGAACATTGTTTTATCTTGCTTTCTCTGGAGGTGATGCTACACTGCTCAGTTGTAAATGAATCTTTACAGATTGTTGACTGTACCTTGTAAAGAAAGACTTGTGAAACTAAGCAGTAGAAAATATATTAATAAGAAGAGTTAAAGCATAAACTGGATTAAAAGAGATTTGATACTGATATTTGTTTATGATTTCTTCTTACTCTGGTCATGACTGTGTCTTATGAGCAAGAAAGAGAATCTGCCATGTTGTGGTGGTGAACAAGAAAGCAGATCAGGTGTCCAGAAATGGGCAGGTGGATGTTTGAACTTGCCCTGGATCAGTGCTCAATTCCAGCTGAATTCTCCTAACAGGTGGCTTGCTGAGTGGTGTGCCAAGGTGATATTCGTCCAGGGAACAGCCTGGATGACAAGCTGCTCCAGACTGAGGAAGAGGGTCTTTGCTTTGATGAGGAAATTGCCAAAACTCATGTCTCATTAGTGTTTCTTAAGGTTCTTTGGAAATGAACAACAGTTTAATTAAAGGCTGACGTAAACACGTTTCTGCACACTTTCCCCGCAGCATTTTATCACATTAGAATTGATCAAAATTGTTGCCTTGGGCTGTCTTGAACAGCTATACATCTGGAGCACCATTTGTGCAAGCTGCTGATGAACAGGCTACATACGCTATGCTTCACAGCAGCTCTTCTGCCTTCCTGTGTAGACAGATTTACCTTGTTGGGAGATGAGACGATCTTGCTCTTTTTATTTGCATAAGCCCTTTTTTCTTTGAACTGGTGCTTTAAAATGTATAACATGCCACCCGTTTGGGTGCATACATACTGTATCTCCACAGTAACATGAGAATAGAGGCAAGAGTGATTTGGAATAGCACTGAGATGTATTTTTTTTTTTTTAAGAAAAAGCCCATTTTTCACATTTGAAGAAAATTCTCAGCAGGGCAGGACACAGTGTCTGATTAATGTTGAACTTTTGATAACTTTGTCCAAGTGCTTTTGGTATCTTTCTGCTTTTCATCTGTACTTTGCATTTTTTCCAGAAGTCTAAAAATAAATCACGCTTGAAACTGTTTTATTTTCATTCTCAAAGTAATAAGGATTGGAATTCCATTCCTGAAACTTTGACACAGACATTAGAGCAAGTGGTCTATTTTTGTGACCTCTGTTTATCATTCATTATGTAATTATCAGTATATAGCTAAGCTCTGTGTAACTACTAGACTATATCTCATGATGTGAAAAAATAAGATGTTTTAAAATGAGAAAAATGTGTGTTTTCTATTATGTTGAAGCTACTAGTAAAATCTTATGAAGACTCACTGACACTTTAACTCATTCTGATTTATTTAAAGGCACCATTTCTTAAGAGCAAAATTATAGATAGTGAAAAACTGCTTTGCTTTTTGTTTTTCTAACTGGTAACTCTCCGAAGAAATGTAAGTTGTGTGTTTTGCTGTTAAAGCTCTAAGCCTCCTCTCTTGGTCAAGGAGGAGACGGCTGCAGCCTTTCTTCATAACCTATACAAACAGTTATTGTTCTGTCTCCCCTGTCGGCTGCATCTGTTATTTGGCAGTGGCAGGAGCATGAATGCTCCGTTATGATGGCCAGGCACACACGGGGAGAGCCGCAGGGGCTGCGGGGGGGAAGGGGCAATCTGAATTACCTCTCAATGCGAAGTGCATTGTTTTAACAAAGAAGCTGCTGCCTGCACTTCAGCCGTTATTCTTTGCAGTTGCCCATGCTATGTATAACGAGACTTCTTCTGAAAGTAGTTTGTGGTGGTGTGCTGTGCAGTGTACGTTAAAGTCATTGTTTTGGTGGGTAACGAGTATTTTTATGGCAGCGCTGAATTTTCTATTCCTGACTACCAGTCATGTTCACCTTGGTGAGCAAACAGTCTTCTGTGTGAGAAGTTCATTGTGTTTGCTTTGTAATTTATGCTATCTGTTTTCTATGTGCTTACTGCAGTTCTTCTGCAGGAAGAGCAGGAATAAATTACACATTTTTAAAGCAAATGCTAGGGTTATCGTAGTCAGCAATCTCCTTTTCAGTAGATTCTTTTCAAATTAGTGATGCCACTGGGGGGGTTAATGGAGACTCTGATTATATTGCACTTCGTATAGCATACTTCTTTCGAGCCACTAAAATATTTTGGTTTCCAAAAACACAACAACTTTTGCTTGTTTAATGAAGTAACAGTCACCAACCAAATTCAATCTCTTTTGCATTCCAGAAATCAGAGCTGCTGATGCATGCAGACCTTCAGGAGCTAAGCAGCTCTTTCTTTCATGAGTTCTTTTGTTGAATACGAACTTTACATAAGGAAAAGATTTTCCACTTTCAGCCCATAGTTTGTTTTTTCTTTAGGGAGACTTCAGTGCAGTACTTTTAATTTGAAATAAAATTAAACTGTTTGTACATACTCTCTTTTGTGACAGCCTATATGTGGTAGAGTCAAAAAGATATTTGATAAGTTCTGTGAGAACTACTGATCACCACTGCATTGTAGTGGGAGGCTGTGTCTACGAGTTATTAGGCACACTTATCTTTTTTTCTCAGACTGTTACATTGCAGTGTTTCTGCAAAGACAGAGATTGTGCATCCACAGAGCCACAGTACAAAAACAATAGCTGGTTAATTTTGTCCTGGGCTTTTATAAAACACTACATATGTTGTGGAGGTGTGAGAATTTTCTTGTTCTGATGGAACTAGGGCCTTATGTGAAAAATCTAGGGCTGTCATTTGAGCAGAAAATAAAACATAATGAAATATTTGAAAATTGTTCTCGAATTAATGTGCCTTCTTATCATGGTTTGCCTATGCAAAACTCAATTTAAAAAAATTGTCTTGCAATTTCAAAAATTATTTCTTAGCTTAGCAGAATGTATTCAACAAAACTGTAACTGTTTGGCAATTTTGCCTTTGTTAACTGTTGATAGATTCAAAGAAACAAAATATTCCTCCATTTTCTTCCTCAACAACAATTTATTTACCAAATTCTTCTAAGACAGCTAGAGGTTCCTCTGTCAGCACGCAGTGTTTTTGATAGCAACATAAAATTGCAACAGACCAGTATAATAAAAAACATACAGTAACCTTTATTGTATCATCTGTTAAAACTGAGCGAGCACTGAATTGCTGTGTTGTAGAGCAATTCCTTGCTCTTGCCGAATGTTTCGCTGAATAAGATCCTTTCTCAGCAGCCTTCTTGAAGAGGTGAACCTTACAGGGTATCTTGGAAATCAGCAGACTTAGTAGTCAGGACCAAAGGGGAGCAAGGGAGTTGCCAAGGGATGGTGGAGGGTCACTGGAAGAGTCTGTTCTGGGTCTGGTGCCAGAGCCTCTGCAGGGTTTGACAGCGGGACAGGGCAGGGCAGACAAGTGGTATCTCAGATTGATGGGTCCTGCTCTAAGTATGTCTTTCAGGGTGAAAACCTACTCTCAAACTCCAGTCACTTCAGAAAGCACTGGTCCAATTTTCCCTCAGTAAGGTGCTCACATTCTGCAGGCCTGTCTTTGTCTTCCAAGATGATTGTACATCCCCCAGAATAGCACAATACCATGTGCCAATATTAAGAGTGCCAAAATCACTTTAAGGGCTAACACGGTCCACGTAGGAAAGTCAGCTGCAACGTGGCCCCAGTCCAGTAAAGTACTTAAGAAATGACCTTTGCTTTAAACATGGGTTGATTCTATTGATTTGAAATGGAACCCACTTACAGTATTGATATGTGTCCTATAAAAATATTATAATTAACTTTGAAACAATTTGGTGCAAAGTCCAACAAATGTTGGCTAATCAATTTAAATTTTCAGAAAGAATCCAGTATTTCTGCTTTATGCAATATCAGTAGCCCTGCGTGGTAGAAATCATACATGTGTCCCCACTAGTTTCTTATCTTCACACAGTGAGCTCTAAAGAGATGCTTTTGTTGATAGGGAGACTGGAAGGAAGAGGTGGGAAGGCCCTACTTGAGACATGGAAAATGAGAGATAGAGAGGTTAAAGTATCCTTTATTCTTAGGGAGGTTACATTTTTTCACTATGGTTTTGGGAAGGGTAAGGGATGGGTTTTGAAATAACAAAATAATAAATACCATGAACCAGCATGTGTAAGACAGTCACCATACACACCTAAGTGTAGGTGTTCCATTAAAAAATGCAATAAAGATTATGTGGCTGTTGAAGGAGCAGATTATTTGGTGATGTTCTGGGGAGCTGAGAAGTGTCTAGAGAGGTCCTGAAGACACGCATTTCTTCACTGTTTGGCTTGTCTGGTATGAAAGGAATGTAGTTTCTGTTTTGCAGGACAAAGACCAGTTAGGGGATTATTATTCATTCTCAACTTTGAAAGCAATAGTTTAAAATTAGTTTATTGGTCATAGGGGAGTTGGGTCACCAAGCAATATTTATGCAAGAACAGTAAAAATAAATATCTTCAGTCTACAAAATTATGTGTCCTGAGATGGGCTTCTAAGCTAATGTTGCTGTTCCGTTGTTTTTCTATTGCAGATATGTCTTCTCCTACAATGAAGAAACCTGAAAAGCCTTTGTTTAGCCCTACTTCTCCCCAGGATTCTTCACCGAGACTGAGCACTTTTCCCCAGCATCACCACCCAGGAATCCCAGGAGTTGCACACAGTGGTGAGGGTTATGGAGGAGGAAGAAATACCTCCCTATTCATTTGGTCTGTTCTCCTTTCCTACAATCAGATTGTGATGCATTTTTGCAGACTTTCTTAGAGACCTAATACCATTTATAACACTGATGAGCGTAGAAATAGAGGAAGTTGGGGTATCCTTGCAGGACTGCTCTTTAAATTCAGTTCAGGTAGTCCGCCGGCTGCAAGTTACTGGAAAGGATTTAGGATTAACCAGTGAATTAAATAAACTGTAAAATGCATGAAGAAGGTTGACAGAGATAAAAATCCTCCCCATCTTTCCTCCTTCTATCTACATCCTTTTTTATTATTGTTGCTACGACTATCTTGTATTTAAATGCCAGAATAGGTAGGGTTAAATACACAAGAGAAGTCTCTACCATGTTCACTGTGTGACACAATGAAACAAGTACCAGTGTTTCGTTTGAATGCCCTGTCTAAAGAGGTAGAGTCCTGATAAATATTTTTCAACATTTGTTGTCTGAAATCCATAATAAATCTGTAGTAAAACTTCACTTAAAGTGTGAAGGAGACCCTTGAAATGTGACGGAGGGCATGTTATCTTGAGGGTTTATCTGGAATGACAGGGAAATTCCAGCATCATGGTCTGTTTAATTTTAGAGGTGAGAGTGACCCTGATTCTTCAGATAAAAACACGGTCCTTGGAAGTCTCCCCTCAGCAGCTCATCATGTCTCCTTATAAACTGCATATAAAGGGATTCATTTCTCTCCAAGGTTTCCACTATCAGGAAATACTCAAGCACATCAGAGATGATGGGTGAAATGGTAGGGATAGATTTCTGCTTACTTGTGTTTGTTTTGCACAGCTCCCACATGTCAGATCAGTAACGAATGTTTTATGATTTAACGGAACTGGTGGGGCTGTGATTAAAATAACCCTGTCACAAAAGAAGGTTCCATAATTATTTTTGGCCCTATACTTACATGTAGATCTTTGTATTTGCTTTACTGTATAATTTTTAGATATATGTATTTGAGTGACAGTCATAACCTAACTGGTAGATGATCTATTTACTTGCTAGAAAACCTGATTTCTATCTGTGTAGCCTGTTCTATTATGTCAGCGAGCAATGGTTTTGAGATTTGCAAGGTTTTGATTACCAAATACAGCAATTTTGGAACATTCCTACTGTTGTTTTTTCTTGGGCAAACTATGACTTGGTCCCAGCTCAAAAATAGCAAGTAATTTAAAAATTAAGTTGAAAAAACCCAAAGATATAAGAGGTGGTCCAGAAGAGCAGTGGTGGTGTGCTTGTGCTGATACAGTATAGAACTGTGAGCAGTTTATAAAATACCTTGCTCATACAGATGTGATTTTGTACCCTCCCACTAATGAAAATGAAAACACCGCTGTCCTTTCTCTATTTCCATTGAACTCAGTACCTCCTTTTTAATACCTTGCCAAGTAGGTGCTCTCTAGATGTGTAGTAAGGGTGGAAAGCAGGTTGCTGTGCAGTGTGACAGAAGAACACTCTCCACTTCCAGCAGGACAACTGGGCAGCAGCAGGATATACTGCACATTCCTTTCACTGTGAAAACATTGCTGGTTGTTTAGATGCTACATATAGTCTATAGATGGATAAATGTGTGTTTGTAGGGGCTTGGAAGAAAGAGAATGCAAAGAAAAATATGTATAGGGTGATATATAGATACTTTTCTGTTTGTCAGAGATATTTTTATTGGATAGATTGGTTTCCCAGGCCCTGAAGGTGAATGTTCATTAGCATTTTCGCAAAGGTCAGCTAATATTCATGGTGGTGTTGATAAGTAGTTATTACTATGTTACCGCATGAGGCAGGTAGAGTGCAATGCAGTAAGGAAGCGCATGCAGTGATAGGACGAGGGGTAATGGCATCAAACTGGAAGAGGGGAGATTTAGAATAGATATTAGGAAGAAATTTTTCACTATGAGGGTGGTGAGGCACTGGCGCAGGTTGCTCGGGGAAGTTGTGGATGCCCCATCCCTGAAAGTGTTCAAGGCCAGGTTGGCTGGGGCTTTGAGCAACCTGGTCTAGTGGGAGGTGTCCCTGTCCATGGCAGGGGGGTTGGAACTAGATGACCTTTAAGGTCCCTTCCAACCTAAACCATTCTATGATTCTATGATACCATGACTTGGTGACTTCGCTCTCTTCTGTTGGAGCACTGTGGATAAAAGTGTAGGTTTTACTTATTGAGTAAAATATTTGTTTTGTTTATTTGGGCTCCAGATGGGAAAACTGTATAATTGAGAAGTCTTTTATGCTGGAGAATAATGACTGTTTAATGAAAAAAAAGAAAAACTTGATGGCATAGCCCACAACCCCAAAATGAGATACAGTATTCATGGATTTGAAACAGTAGCACTTTCTGTTGCCTGGGTTGATGTGAGGGGAGAACATGGAATTTTTTCTGTAAGATGCCATGAAGCAGGAGTGCAGTGTACTGATTTATAACTGACTTTTTATTTTTCTTGCTGTAACACAGAGATGAAGAATTTTAGAAGAAACAAGATACGAAGTAATTTTAATTTTATTTTATCTTCTCCAGTCATCTCAACTAGAACTCCACCTCCACCTTCACCATTGCCATTTCCAGCACAAGCTATTCTCCCTCCTGCCCCGTCTAGCTACTTCTCTCATCCAACGATCAGATATCCTCCCCACCTGAATCCTCAGGATACTCTGAAGAATTACGTACCTTCTTACGACCCGTCCAGCCCGCAGACTAGCCAGGTACTGTAAAACAATGCAAACCCTCCAAAAGAAATCCTATGAGGAATGTGTGCCTTCCAGTGCATCTAGATCGGTATTTCACTAGTTCTGGTCTCAGAGCAAGCTGGGAGCTGGCATATAAGTCTATAAGCATATAAGTGAGCCAGCAACTTTTCCTGTTCAGCATGGTTGAATAAAGGGTGCATATCCATTCACTGTTCCTCTGTCAAGTGTAAGAAAAATACTTGTCCTGAATGACCCGGCAGCGCTAACAGGGCAGGTCCTGGTCCCGCAGACCTCCTGCAGGCTGGGCACCTCTGTGGCCATGCAGGGCTGCCAGAGATGAAATTCCCGCTGCAGGATGAAGCAAGAGATGCACTGATACGTACAGGTGCACACAGGCGCACACATGGATATACAGGTATATTTATAGATTGTCAATGAAAATAAACTCTGGCAAGGTCATGCTTGCCTTGTGTCATAGGCACCTCACGCTTCTTTGCACAGATGCGAGGATGTTGCTGTAGTGAGCACAGCACAGACCCACAGAATCATTTTTTCTTCCTTTTGTAGTGAACGTGCAGTAACAGATGAGTTCCTGGCTGCTACACCGATTCAGACTTGTGTCTGATATGGGAAATTAACATGGTTTTCATTAGAGAAGTAATTTGTGAAGGGCTGTGTGCAAAACTGCTTTCCATGATAGCATCAGCAGATAGTGTTAGCATGTGATCTGCGCTATGGGATAAACTGCAGTTGAGACTTGGTTTGTCAATACTTGGAATTTTTCCAGTGTCAGTATAATGTAATCTTTACCGCTCAGGCTGTTATTTATTATTGATGCCTTGTCTGAAAGGCTCCTGTGGAGCCCTGTAGCTTGTGCTTTAGCATGTTTTTTGGAAGAATCTTGGGAACGTAAGCTGAAGAGACAACAGTCAGTTTTCCTGCTCTGAAGAGTTAGGTTCCTTTGGAAAGACTGTCTTATCAGGGATGGAGGGGTTGCTGTGACAGCATTTTGTTTTGGGCTTCATTTGGTTTTGTTTTTCACCAGTAACAATCTGTTGAATAACAGATATGGCCCTTCTGGGCTGTTCAGAAGGTCATTGTGCTTACTGTCTCCACAGGCTAATGCTCTGGTCCAGCTGCATGACTTTCTACGTATTAAAAAAAAAAAAAAAAAAGTCTGTTTATAAAATCAGAATTTACTTTGAAGGGATAAATCCTAACTATTTGATTTTTGTTGGTTACAATATCAATGCAAATTAAACCAAATAGTGAAAATGGAGTATGTCGGCTTTAGAATACAAATTGCTATCTGCACATGGATTAAAAGTCTTTCAGTCCCTTATAGCATTTTTACTGAGACTCAGCTGGGAATGTTGCATGCAGGACCTGATTTTAATTTGTGCAAAATTTCCATGAATAACAAAGTCTAATTAAGACATCCATTAAAAGTCCTTAACGTTAATTCAGTGTGGAAAATCTTAGAGTTCTGTTGGATTTTTTTTTTAAACTGATGTCTTAATTAGGCACTATTAAGGGAAAAAATATGCAAATTAAAATCAGGCCCTTACTGTTATGCATTTCTTTAATTATTCAGTGCTTGTTTTACTTACATTTTGATTTCTTATATATACTAAAAGAGCAGATTAGGTGATAATCTCTCTGGATTGTTCAGTGTTCTGCTTTGGATCACTGAAAAAATGCAACATCTAATTGAAGTATCTGACTTTCTTTCAGACAGTTGACAAATGTGCTGTCTTGTGATTTTAACATTGGGGAGTATATTCACTGAGCAGGAGAGGCACTTTCAACTCTTTGCCCAACAAGAGTCTTACTCTCTTCCCTTATCTGTGGTTGAAAGATTAATCTTTAGACCTTAAAAGATAAAATTTTACCCTGCTGATTGTTTTCAGAGTAGTAGCAAACTCAAAACACTTCCTATTCTTGTGTTGTGGCACAATAGGGAATAACAGGCCAAACTGGCCTCAATTTACTACTTTCGTCACCTTTCATAACCTTTATATTAGGGTAATGTTTTTCATTTCATTTGATGTTTGATTTAGCTCCAGAGAAGAGGGGATGGGGTTAAACAATGCCAAGTGTGGGATTCCAGGCATCTGCATCAGCTATTCTCTGCAATTTATTATCATTAATCACTATTATTAGCTGAATCTCTTTTAAATTTAATTCTTTAACATTCACCTCTGAGATATGCTGTACATTAGAGGAGTTGCATGCCCAGTCAAAGTATCTCTAAATAGAACAGTTAAAGGATGGCTGTACAAGAAGTGAAATAGCAAGAATAATTTTTTTGCTTAGGAAAAGAAGAAGCAGCCGTCTGTGAAGTTTCAGTGACAAAAGGGAATTGTTCTGATACAATGGCATGCTTTGAGCCAAACCAGTTTTTCTTTTCTAAATAAAACATGAATTTTCATTCAAGCAAATTTAATTATTATAAAATGCAAAACTGCATCTGTAGGAATACCACATCAAATTTAATTATACTTTCCCACCTCAAAACATACTCATTTGGATTTCAAAAGGAGAACTATGATGATAGTTTTAATTTCAGCTTTGGAAACAGAAAGGATAGATACCCTGACAGCATTTACCTAAAATGAACTGTTCCTCCCCAACATCTTTCAGTAATACGCTAATTTAGATTGTTACGACAAGCAACTGAGATGCCTTGTACTCCCCACAGCAATTTTGAGATTAATTACATTACTGCTGCACTGATTATAGTGAGACAGTCATGCTATTCAATGGAATACTTTAAGTAAAATTAGTTTAAAGATATAGAGCTCCCATAGGTTTCCACGGTGGGAAGCAGTGGGCAATTTTCTTGACATAATGTTAAATACTCCAAATTATGTGTGATGAACAGTCAGGAAGTTCAAACAGGCCCTTTGGCTGCAGTGAAAAATTATTAAACAATGGATGATCCTAAACAAAAGAGAGACGTGGCTGTTGGTTTCATGCATATCTTTTTATCCCCTATTCAATCTGGAGAATAAATAAACAAATGTACTGAACAGAAATGGACCTTGTTAGATATAGAACTGGACTTGCCTCCAACTAGTAGTCTGAAAAGTTCCCAAGGTTTTGAGAACTGCTGTACTTTCCACTAATTAAGTAGTTCTGCGGGGCTCTTTATTATACTTATTTCAACACTTTTCTTAGCTGGACATGCATGTTACTGGATGAGATTGTGTGTGTGAGTAGGTATCTGTATTATGATGGGGTGCTGGTCTCAGTTAAACTGATACTGGTTACTCACTGTAAGTTTCAGCAAAAACTAATCGCTTGTTACGTGTCTAATCCACCTAAGGTGTTTATCCGTCTATGGTGTATTGAGATTTTCAAAGCCACCACAAACTTTGAACATGTATTTCCTTTTTGAATGATTCCAGATGGGTTAATCTTTTAATCTTGGAAAATATTACCTCCTCTGTGTGTATGTACGCATGTGCATACACACACACACACATCTGCACACACTTGAAATGCATTAATAATTGAGAATGTATGAATCAATATACAGTATCAAAATCAGACTTCCAATGAACCTGAACAAATCGCCAACCTCAACAACACTTGTGTGGCTGAAGTCAAAACCAAAAGCTCCAAACTTAATGCCCTGTTGCATTAAATGGAATAATTTCCTGATTAAGGTGTGGTGAATCACAGAAGGGTTGGCAAGTGTGGTGAAGGAAACAATGGTAAAGCAGACAGTTAAGGTGA